AAAGCTGCTGCCAGTCAAAATAGAGTCTGTATTGTCTGTATCAGTACTGAGCTAGATGGGCCAATGATTTGACTCACCATGACAGCTTCCCATGGTCCTATGCATCTATATTTTTTTAATACAGATTGCTGTCAGATTTTTAAATACTGCCTGCATTCATGAAGGCTATAAATGAACTTATTTTATATGGAAGTTTGTGTCAAAGCAATGGAACCAACCAACAAAACTCCACGTTCTCTGCTAGTGTCCCTCATTTCAGTTAGGTTTGAAGCACATCCATTATCAAACTATAAGCCAGGATGATTAACAATTTTACATTCATGCTCATGTCATCCTCAGATTTCATTTGGGCTTCTGGGAGGCTGGAGTGAAGAAAAGTAAAAACAGACTTTAAGACCACTTTGTTTTATCTAAAAGTGGCAGTGTGCAGGCTCACTGTACTTATCCCCATTTGGCAAGCAATATTTTTCTCTCATGTTGGAGCATTTTCCCAGTGACTACTAGCTGATATAGGCCACACATACACACACACACAAAAAAAACACCAAAAAACAACAACGAATCCCTGCTTCCTTCATGTTGAGCCTTCCCATGGAACAGTCACTGATTAAAAGTGACATTTAAAATTTCCGGTTTACTTTTTCACTGCCTCTGTTTATTGCCTCTCCCCCTCCTTCCCGCGCACACACACACACTTCATATGGTTGAAGCCAGCTCACTGCCCCTATTCTATTGTAGCACCTTTTGCTACTGGATGTCATTGTGTGAGCAGTGCATTCCAAGGTAAAATGTTGTTATTCCAAAAAGGAATTCTTATCAAGAGGCTTAATTTTAAACGCTTCTAAAACCAATAAGGCAGGCTGCTATTAAGATGCTGAATGAGGTGTCAGGAGTTTCACTCACTCACTTGGTGTCAGCTGGAGTTAGGAAAGCTCATGACCTCTTTAAAGCAGATGCCTCAGGATAACCCTCAGACTGCCCGGTTTTATACTGAATTAGACTAGTGGTCCATTTGGCCCAGTAGTGTCAACTGCTCTTCAGGAAGATCAAGTGGGGCCTCTACAAGTAGAGCCATCAGATGTCAGGCAAGACTTGGGAAGGGAGTTCATAGTCATGCATCTCTAGATAGCTGGGACTCTTGTGCCATTGACAATTTAGAACACACTTTTAACTAGTTTGTAGAAAAGCAATCAAATTAATGTATTTTTTAAACAGCAGAAAATTAGGTCCACTCTAGATTGGAGTACTAAAAACTATATTTATTGCATGAAGGAGAGCAAGTAAGATGATGACTTATGTGGACCAAGTGGTGATCATAGAAGCAGAAGTTGCAAAGCCCCCCCCCCCCCCGATTAAATATTCAAGAGGATAATAGATTTTTGAATTATTGTATAACTCTCATTCATTTCCATGTGGTTTCTGTTGGAGAACTTCCCAGCTGACTTGCTCTTTGCCAAATATTAAATTACTCTTTGCAGTCTGAGTGTTCAGGATCAGTTGTGTTACAAACTCAGTAAAAGTGTGATCCTATGGCTTTGGAATGGCATCCTGGGGGTCATAGGATACAGCAGATCTTCTCCACCATTGGTGGAGAGGGAGGTCTGCCATCAGAGAGGGACCCCAGGATGCTTCCTTATAGTGGTGGCAGAGAGCTGTGTTGTTGGTACTCCAGTAACAGAAAGAACAAGTGTGTGGGTTTCCTGGGCACATTGGGGGAAGCTTTGGATTCAGTGGATCTAAAGCTCCCTACTGGGCATTCCCTTGGAACAGGAAATAATGATTTCCCTCCCATTAGAGTCTATGGAGCTTTCCCCACCCTCTGCTGATGTGAGCCCAGCAGGGCTGGGAATCTGATGTTTCTTCTTCCCCTCCCCAATAGGATTGCTTTGTAAATATGTGCTTCTGCTTCATAACAGATGTGTTTGCAACATAGCCAAATACTAACACATATATTTGTGTGTAGAAAGTGGATCAACATGGAAACAATAATTTTTCTTAGAAATATGCAAAGCCCCAAGAACGAAAATCTTACCCACAAACTCCCCCTTAGCCTCATTAGGGGATGATAGCTATTCCCCATCTGTTAATTCCTGCCTCTTTGTGATCTGCTGCTACCTAAAAGGGGCAAGTAAGTTGTGCTATCATAATGAACTGGATAAACAATTCCCCAAACAGATTAAAACTAACTGTAACTTGTAAAGGGTGGGAGGATGGGGGGTATGTAGTAATTATATTTTATTAGCTAGCAAAGCACCATTTTTTGCTTTCAAAGGATAATTCTATGTAAATCATCTTAATTAGAAGTGTCAGACAAACCTGTGAAGATCATAGTTAGCAAGTAATTTCCTATGTATGGGTTATAATTTAAACCACATGGATCGCTCGCTGTGTGGCAATATGCTGGCCATGAAATAATGTGGGGAGTGTCGGTTGAGGTTATTACTATGTAAATGTGTGATCATTTCAGACCGCTCCTGACTTGCTTAGTGATTAAAGAGAATTCTGAGGTCTCCAAAGATTGTGCTCTTTGCAAGGGCCTGGAGCAGAAAACTTTAAAAGGTGCTGGAAAGTGTTTGAACTTTAAAGGTCGTGATTTCCCTTTTACCATTTTTAATTTGCCACCACTGTTTATGGGAAGGAAGGTTTCTCTTTGCTTATGGCCTCTCACTTTCCCAACCATCAGGCTAGCGATTAATGATTTGCTCTCAGAAGGACTGGACAAGAGAGAGTGTTGCCGCTTTACACAATACATTTACCTATGCACATAACTTACCTGTGTGTTTAAAAACACGATCTCTGACTTGGTTCTTTAATCCCAGAAGAAAAGGCTGAAATGGAGGCGTCAGCTTGTTCGGGTTATGTGTTCTTATAATGAAGCAACAGATATGCAATACTTGTAGGAGGAATGGTCCCTTGGCCTGACCTGGTAAGACTGTATTAATGCACTGAAGTGTGACCCACAAAAATCACATTCTAATTCTCTAGATGAATTAATCTGGACTAGTTACCGCTAGTAAAATGATCTTCAGCATGTGCTGTTACTACTGAGAGTAGAATCAGAAGCACTTATACTCCTCAAATATTGTCAACTTTCTTTAACGGTGCTCATCATCTTGAGGCCCTTCTTTGTGTGCTCCTTACACAAGAGGCCTGGAGGGTGGCAACACAGGAACGGGCCTTTTTTGCGGTGGCTCCGTTTGTGGAGTGCTCCCCACAGGGAGACTCACCTGACACCAGGCAAAAGCTTTGGCCTTTTAACTATCTGTGGTCTTTCAGAAGTGTGTGAGATGTTTTTAATGTATTTCTCTTTCCTTTTGGTTTTCATGTATCCATGTGGGGTGTAATGTCTGTCTGTCTGTTTTGTTTTTGTTTGTTTGTTTGTCCATTCATTTGTAAGTTGCTTTGGGTTGCCCTGGGCACTGAAGCAACTAATAAATTCAATAAATAAAAATAAGAATCATTCATTTCCTCGCTGCATCATGGAAAGGAAGAATTGGTTAAATACCATAAAGCATATTTAACTGCCAACATCATAGGAACCACATTCCCTTCTGGGCAGTCCTCCGAGAGCCACATATCACTGTTGGTTAGGGCCAGAGGCAAAAGTGGGCAGAGCAATAAATGTGAAGGTAACTTCTGTATGGTAGACTAGTTTCTTCAGACTCACGCATCTCTCTCTATCCTCCATCCAGCCAAGCAAAAGCCCTCAAGGAAGGTGCAAAGCAAGGCTGGTGAGGGGTGTGTCTCAGGAGGATGTATAAGCTGGGGAGAGTCCTGAGGGCTATAGAGAGAGGAATGGTGGGCCACCATTGTTCCCCGCCCTGAGGAGAAGAGTATGGTGTCTCCATGATGACAAATCTTAAAAACCACTTTTGACAATCATTTAGTAAGGATTGGTTAGAAAGAAAGAAAACAGTACAAAGAGAGCAAAACTAACTGGAGGGGAATGACATTAAGTAATGGGCAATCCAACAGTGGCTGATGCTGGCCAGGGTTTTTTTTCCCTTTTTTTGTTCGGGTGGCTCCTACTTTTTTTAATTTCCGCTTTGGCTTCCCAGCAGACATAGTTGAGGGACCCAATCCTGGTGCCTCCCAGGGGAATGAAAGAGCTGTGAACCTGGCACACCCCTGACCGCCTCTGACTCAGCCCCAGAACACCCAGTTTGGGGGGCTCCCCACAGTGAAAACATCTCCAGTGAATCTAGGGGTTGGGATTGCTCTCTAAATAGGTAAATATCTCACACATGCCAACACACACAACACACTTCCCTTTGGTAAGGAATTGGATAACTTGGCCTCCTACCTCCCTGAAGCGTGCACAAAAGACCAGCTTTTTGTCAGTGACCCCCAAAAGTGCATTGGTTGCTATTGAGAAGGGAGGTAGAATTGAGGTTGAGATGACTTTTGGTCTTCAATTTTTGAGGGAGCTGTGATTGCAACAAAGAAGCAGTGGTGGCATGGGAAGCTTTGCAGTCCCCAGGAGCCAGCACCTTCAAAATACCCTCCTCACTTCGTTTTTCTACACCCAGCCATCTGCCAACAAAAGGCAGATTAAAGCTAGCCAAATTCAATTTCTACTCACTGCTGCCACAGCTCGACATCTGGGGCTAAAGTGTCCCCGACAAAGCGAACATGACAGCCACATTGCTTTTTTGTCACATCCAGTAGCATGTTGATCTTCTAAAAGTCTCATAAAAATTTATTGATGTCTCCCATATTGCTGTGATTGGGAAGAAAAGTGTGTGTGTGTGTGTGTGTGTGTGTGTGTGTGTTAATGCTTCTAGAATAGATCTGATTTGATATGTCTTGTTCTATTGTCAGCATCTGTTTAGCAAGGCTTTTTAATACTTTCTGGCTGCCGATCAGTCATCCCTAGCTTGGGATGCCGACTTGCATACAAATTTTATTATTAAGTACAATTCCTTCTCTCCCCACTATCCTCCCCCCCACACCACCCTCCCCTCTACCTATCCACCCATCCATCCATCAACCCCCCCAAGGCTAAGAAGAGGGACCTCCAGCTGTGGGAGCCCTGCAAGCGCAAGACATCAGCTTGGGTAACATATTTCAGAGCCCCATTTTTGCCTGTTGCAGGTGCTTTGTATCAGTAAATCGAATCATGGGGAAATCATTTATTTCCTAATGCTGTTTGTGGCATGTTAGCTGGAGAATTTACATGAGAGAGATTACTTTAATAACCAAAAAAATTACAGTGCGGGGTCTCCCCGCCCCGTCGCCTTTGATGTGTAATTGTTTCAAATTTAACCTGTCTGGAGTGAGGGTGAAAGGCATTATTAAATCTGAAGCATCTTGCTCCAGGGAGGGCGGGGAGGCGGAGGATCACCCTAGTGTGAACCTCCTTCCAGCCGTTAAATAGAAATGGAGTGAAATTAACAAATCAACCAAGCAGAGAGAAAGAAGGAATTCCTACAGCCTGGAGAAAGGCCCTTCTAATTTTAGTAATTTGTCTCTCTTTTCTCTGCTCCACATTCTCCTCCTGTGACCCAGTCCTGTGTGATACCTAATGCTCTTCATTCCTGCTAGCGTCTCTGTACATTAATTTTGTTCAAGGGCTGAGATCCATACTGGACCAAGGGTCTCAGGGAAAATGTGAACTGCAGAGAAATGTAACCATTTATATTTAGAAATGTAATTCCTTATCAGGTATCCTCCGACTAATAGGGACTGTAATCCGTCACAGAGCAACAAGGCAGTGTATATGAATGACTGCATCCAGACAGGGATATACCAGGAAGGTGCCTGTCACATCAGCGTCCCACAGGACGCTAACTTTGCAGCAGGATTTCTGGTCAAAAAGTGGCAAGTGCTTGTAGAGTTTTCAACCAGTTTCTGTGTCCCATAAGCAGTAAGAGCAGGTGGTAATGCGTTGTGAGACAAGTTATCCACAGCACAGCTAACTACTTTTCTGCATGGCAAGTAGGTCTCTTAATGGTTTCCCAAATCACCTGTTTTTTCAGCACACTTTGGTTTCAGTTTCACCCCTTTACCTGCCTCTCCTGGACTGGGCTGTGGTTTCATCCAAGATCTTGTCTTACCCAACATGGCCAGTTCAAGAAGTCATCAGGGTTGGGAATTTGCCAGGGCCCAGAACCAGTAAGGGGGACAACTAACTGAAAGTGAATGCCACCACTTTGACTGTCATTTGCTACTAGGATTGACTAGGTTTGGAAGGGACACTAGAGCAAACCCTTAACTAAGTTGAGGTGTTTTTGTGTTTTTTTAAGAATCTGCCTGAGATTTGCCAAGTGTGTATGCCATTAGTTCTGACTAGTTTGCATGCCTTGCTTCCTTCTGCCCTTCAGGGCTGTGCTTTAGTTCTCCCCACCCCCTCAACAGCTTAATCAGGGTACCATAGAGCTCCCTTTGTGCATCCACTCTGCAATGTGGTAAAGTGCTACCCTTCGCTCCAATCACTAGGTAATACCACTGCTACCCTGCCTATGAGTCTTCTTTAAGCTAGTGGGGTGAGCAGCCTTTGATCTTGGGAATGGGGGAATTGCCAGCGAACTCACTCCACTTGCCGCTGGATGCCAGAGGCAGCCTAACCTCTTCTTATTCCCCATTGGTACAAATCTTTGGAGTAAGTTACCTATTAGCCTGGCTCATGGGTCACAGGCCATAGAGTGCTTTCCAATTGTTTTGCAAAGCAGGGAAGCCACTGCTGCAATTACAGCTGGACTGCTCACAATGGCAGGTCATGAGGGGAGGATAATTGGCTTTGGAACACCCTGTGGAAGAAGGGACAGCATGAGACAAGCCACATATACAGGAGCCTTGAGAAATGTGGTATTTGAGGGCAATTGTTGCTTTGCCTAGATGAGAGAAATTGGCAGGATCTACTCTTGGGTTCCTATCAGACAAATTTAAGTTAAGAGAAAGCACTGCTGTGGGGGAATGCTTGAGGTATGTCTATCCAATCTTTGAGCAATGGAGTCTTTGGTGTAAGAAGAGTTGTGAATGGATGTGTAGTGGTTTGGGAAGGCCATTGTAACACGGGCATGAGAAACCTCCAGACCATCATGCCTCAGAACCAGATCATGGAGGTCTTTGCAGCCCATGCCCCAACCTAATGGTGTGCCAGCTGCCTCACTCCATGCTCTGCTTCCAGTTTGGTTGCCTTCCTCCCTCCGATCTTGCTGTCCCTCATTCTCCTCTGCATAAATGAATGAGGAGAGCCAAAGAGAACAAGGAGAGTTATTAAAGGGTCCTTGTCCAAGTTGCCCAAGACGTCTCCAGAAGCTGGAGCCAGTCCAGTTAAATGGCCATGGTTTCAAATTGCAACACTATGCATTACTTCTGTTTATGATACTTAATGGTGTATTTTCCCATAGGGCCAGGCCTGCCTCCCTAGTGGACATGGAAAGCTTTATTATGCTACAAGAATAATGTAGGTGTAAAATGCAGATGCACTTCAGAGCTTCTGTGATACCTAGAGTATGATTTTGGATACAGGAAGTCAACGTTATATCCTTGCTCAGCTTCAGAGTTGACAGGGTAGCACTGAGTGTCACTGTCTCTCAGTCTAATCTGCCTCACAGGGTTTTTGTGAGAACACCAATCCTGCTCTGAAGAAAGGGCAGGATTCAAATGTAATATATAAATAATAGGGATAGAAAGTTGGGTACAGTGTGGTGGTGATGGTCTTCTGTGTGGAAAGTGAGTTCCTAGTTGTCTGGATCTCATCATAGAGGGCTTTACAGCACCAAATCCCCCCAAAAAGGTCTGAAAAGTCTTACCTTGTAGAATTTTTCTGCCCACTTTCAGTATGGTACTGATACTCTTCTTTTCTCTCTTGACAGTAAGAACTCTATATTGAAGGATGTCATGGCTCCAGGTACTCCCAAGGTAAGTGAGTCAAATTTGGTCACATATTGTTTTCCAATATCCTCCATGCCCCTACAAACACTGTTTCTTGGTCCAATTTGATCTTCCTTTCATAATCTTCATAACAGTATGTGGTATCAAACAGTTGTCTCGTCCTGTACACAGACCCTGAAGTTCCCTGGGCAGGGGACAGTCACTTAAGTCTTTATTCCTGCATCCCTCTTTATATTAGTGCCTCAATACGTAGTGGGCATGCTTAGAACCCATTGTAAAACCATTTCAGCGTTCTAAAATACTTCCAGATTTTACTAGAATTGGCCTTTGGGTCCCTGCAATTGGAGATTAAATCATCTTAACTTGTGACCTTCACACTGGGTGCTCTGGAACCAGAGACACTAGTTTGGTGAAGTGGGTGTCTGCAGCAATTCTATCTTCTCTGTCTCCAACCTCCATCTGTAATGTGTTAGGGGTGGGGTGTGCTTAGCTGTGGCTAAACAATTGTGTATGTGGTGGCAAATGCAGGGTCATTGCCGAATAATGTCGGAAGTGGCCCTTAGGACCAAGCAGAAAAACTTTGTAGGTTGTTGTGCCACCTGCTGTCATAGGCTACTAGTAATGTGTGCGCCACACCCTATACAGTGTGGTCTTAGTGCTACTCTGGCAGATCATGAACTGCCGTTCCTGATTCAGAAACAAACATACACAGCAGAAGCAGGCATGCAAGTAAAAGGGAACACATCAATTAAAAATCAAGAATCTTATTCGCCTTTGTGCCTCACAAGGGAGTAGGAAAGAGCAGCATGAAAAGCAGCTCTTGTACTGTGCATTTTGGTTGTGCTCATTGCTGGATGGTGATAACTCATCTGTCCCAAACACCAAGCCTGAGGAGGCGTTCAATAGGCAGATTAGTTGTTTGGAAGTAAATATAGAGAGTTAGAGACAGTCACCAGATAAGGAAGAAAAAGGCCTTTTCTCCCAGCAGGGATTGAGCCTTTGAAGCTTCAAGCAACAAAGAATCCCATTTGCTTTGAGTGAAGGGATTAAGGCAGGATAGTTGAGGGGTCCTGTGTAACCAAGATCACTTGTCTGCTGTCGCCACATGGCGTCCCCCTCCCTTCACTCTCCCACCATCACCTAAGAACGTTAAGAAGAGGGGGCTTTTGAATTCTTCTTACAGCCTCTTGGCCTCAGAATTGTTATTCTCAAGTGGCACTTGCTTGAAGAACAGGCCTGCGTGATGCAAAAGGTGCTGCGCTTCTCACTTAATAGCTAGACTAAGTGTAAGTCTGCCTTGGTCTTCAACTGGTGGGTCAAGATTCCCTATCAAGTCATGGGCTGATCTAAGGTGGGTTGTAACAGCAGTGCTACCACCATTTAAGTATATGGTGAAAAAGAAAGAAAGAAATGGCCCTTAGATATATGTTTAGGTTAAAAGTGGGTACTGGGTCTAAAAAGGATGAAGAGTAGTGGTCTAGAAACACCATTCTCTGACATAGAAGTCCTTCCTCTTCAATCCCTGGTTTGCTGGGATTCTCTATAGTTATTTAGTGGCAAGATAAATGGGTCCCACTCACATGTTTCTGGAAACAATCTTGGCATTGAAAAAGACCTGCAAATTGGCCCTGGAACGATCCAAGATGCCAAAAATTGTGCAAAGAAAATAGGCAAATTTACTTAAATTTCACATTTTATGTAGGCTTGCACATTTTGGATTTTAATTTTCAAAATTGGATTCTCCCCCCCCCCCCCCGTGCCACTAACAGTTGACTAAAATAAATGTTTGGGTGCAAGTTTTGAGACACAAGGATTATTTGTTGAAGATGCAGTACATAATGTTTGGTGGGTGCTAAATGCTTGGGTTTAAGAAATGTTAGGATTTAATTAGAACTGGTATGTTAGTACTGGTAATAGCCAGACTTGTGTGTATTTAAATTGTGGGTTAGCCACTGTTAATCCCCTGGAATTAGCATATGGAATTAGCATATGTGAAGGGTTAATTTACCTAGGCACACTTCCTGGGTTGTGTAATATTCACGAAAGCAACAAGTGTTAATGAAGTCAGTCAGGCTTCTTTGTGAGGTGATGGGTGGTGGGATAAGCAATTAGAGAGATCAGAGGATTAGGTATTAACACAACACAGGATCAAAGGAAATAGGTGTGAGAATACAAATGTGTGGTCTCTTTCTGAGGAGAGTAAAAAAGGAAAGCTGATAAGCTATGGTGTTATTTCCTGTGTTGTGCCCTGCAGTGCAAGACAGGCTGCAGAGAAAAGGATGGGGCTCTGCTTACCAATTTTGTTACTATGGAATGAACTGGCAGCTATTGGGATGCTACTGCTGTGAGCCCTACCATTGACAGCTCCAGGTTGTATATATGTGTAAATAAACCATCTATCATAAAGACACTACAGCCTTTGTTGAACCTCATTCCCAAAGGAAACACTAACCCTTGATAAGCATGCCTGAAACCCTGGGAATCTTGCGCAGCCGATTGGAGTGGCGTGTAACAGTGCATTGAAGTTTAAAAAGAAGAGAGGGAAGGGATGGCAGGGAATTCTGATGCTGCATTATTGTTTCTGGTGGTCTGCCCAACCACTAACGTTCCTCTGAGGAGGAAGAGTTTGATGAAGTCTCACAGTGGATAGATTCTTTACTAAATTTTCTCTGTACTTTAAGCCAGAAAAGGCACTATGTACCTAGATTCCTCCATCAGTGTTCCTGAATCCCTAGTAACAGCTTTGCCATGTACTTCTGTGATGACCTTGGGGAAATCACATAATACCTCAGGGCTTCATCTCTAAAAGTGATAGACGATAAAAGATTAATAATTAAATCTGCTCATTGTGGCTGTAGGGGAGAGGGAGAGACCAGAGAACTGTCCATGTATATTTGAAATATGTCAGCACTTAGGGCTGGTATTCATGTGGGAGAAAGACTGGGGAAAAGATTGGGTAGTTGTAATTAAGTTTGGAAACATATCCACTAAGGCTGTGATCCTAAGTATACTTTATTGGAAGTGAGCATTATTGAAATCAATTAGTCTTACTTCCAAGCACATGGATTTAAGAACAGAATTCCTTCCTTCCTGTCAACCAACAAACCAAATGGATTTCCACATATTCCACATATTGAAAACTCACAGGAGACGTGGAAGACACTCTGGTGCTGGTTTTTAAAAACTAGTTCGAACATAACCATATAGAGTGTGTGATGGATGATCTGTGTGCTCTAGGCTGAAATGAGGTTTAGTTCTGACTTCTGTGTCCAAAGTTGAGTGGAAAATAGTATCAAGAAACACCTTTCTTGAGATTCAAGGAGGATGTCATAGCTCAGTAGTAGAACACATGTTTTGCATGTAAAATGTCCCAGGTTCAGTCTCTGGCAGGGATGGCAATGAACCACTGGCAGTCATACTGTAGTGTAGACAATGGGCTTACCCTAACTTCCTCTTCTATCACTGTCTTTCCCCCAGGGGAGGGGGCACTTATTAGTGTTCTAACAGAGCAAACAGCAGGGGGGGGCCAAAAAAAATGCTCAGGCACCAGTGGCGGAATGTAAGCCAGTGCTACCTGGGATGGGTGCGTGGGGCGTGCCCCCCAGGGGGGCGGTGCACAGAGGACGGCCTCCAATGTGCCAGTGTCCAGGGGATAAGAAGGACGTGGAAGCTGCCACCTACTCTCCTCCTACTCTTCGCCGCTGGATCAGGCCTGACCCAGGGGCAGAGCTGTGGCCAGGCACGAGCGCAGCAGCCAAGGCGCAGCTCCTTCTCACATGGAGCCAGGCTCTAATGAAGGAGCCTGCAGTGGGGGTGCCCGTTTGCACCCAGGGTCGCCGCCCCCATGCTACGCCTATGCCAGGCACAGAACTTTAAAGTGCAGACATGTACCTGGGGAAATTGGGGCAAATAAGTGTGCAAAAGCCCAGAGAGCAAAGTTATTGGGATTCCTTGCATGGCAACATGCTAGCATGGTCAAGCCTTTGCCTTCCCCAGCTTTCATTGAGGCATAGAGAACTATGCAGTGTTCTCTGGTGTAACTCAAACAGTGGTTCAAATTGCCAGAAGCTGAAGTTGGCTTTCCTCCTTAAGTGCTGCTGTGGCTTCCTGAAGACAAACAGACAAAGGAGCCAGTGGGAGTATGAGAGTTTACTGGGCATTGGGAAAGTGTCAGAGAATAAAAGATGCTGGTGGTGTTCGGTCTTGAGATGCTGAGACCACTGGTGCTGTTACAAAGCACCGCAAAAGCTGGTATCACTCATTGCATTCGGGTTACAGTTCCCAAGTGATAACAGCTATTAGCAACACTTTGACTGCTTCCCCACCATGCAGGGGAGGGCAGGAGACAGAAAACATGTCAAGCCATCACCTCCATGTTAAGTGATAAGTACCTATTTAGATGGCAGAGTTAAAGTCCAACGCATCAGGCAGGAAACACTTTGCGCAGGAGAGAAGGGAAAGGCCAGAGCGAGATGTAAAAAGCAGGGTTAGGGTATTTGTTGTGCTGACAGCAGCTGTGATTGATTGTTTAAGAGAAATAAACTGCCTGTGTTTTCGGGGCTATCAAAAAGCAGGAGCCCAGCACTTAATAGTCTCAAATGGGTGGCCTTGAAAGGAAACAAAGTGTCACTGCTGCCGGCTCACTGCTTCCCAGTGCTGACATCTGACCTGTCTCTGAGACAGGGAGGGGATAGTTTTAGGAGAGGCAGCAATGAGCATATGTTACAATCTTGATGTGTTTTCTTGGCCGTGGGCTGCTCCCAAATCATAGGTGTCCCTCGCCTTGTGCTTGCTTCCACCCGTGTCCCTGGGGTCAGCATGGCACACTCACATGTTTATGTAAGCACATTTGTTGTTGTTGTTGTTTAGTCATTTAGTCGTGTCCAACTCTTCGTGACCCCATGGACCAGAGCACGCCAGGCACCTCTGTCCTCCACTACCTCCCACAGTTTGGTCAAACTCATGCTGGTAACCTCGAAAACACTATCCAACCATCTCGTCCTCTGTCGCCCCCTTCTCCTTGTGCC